TATAATGTGGATTTCTGAAACCCAATAGTGGAAGAAGACTATACCCACAAGTTGTCCCCTAACTTCCAGTAGTGAACTATGGTGTATGTGTGCGTGCACACAAACACACAGAGAGAGAGAGAGAGAGAGAGAGAGAGAGAGAGAGAGAGAGAGAGAGAGCCAGAGACAGAGCCAGAGACAGAAAGACAGAGAGACAGAGAAAGAGACTAAATAAAGAAATAAGCAAGCAAGTAAATAAATAATTATTTAGAAAGAGTTCTTTAATGCAAACCTGGGACAGATATTGAAGAAGAAAAAGGTGAACTCAGTTGGTTCCATATTCACTCTTTGACTTGGGCTTCTTAGCTGCTCATCTGTCAGAGGGTCACAGTATTCTTCCACTGGACATTTGGTTTTCTGCTTGCTCTCATTAATGTATCCTAGAGACACATTAACTGTTTACCAGGGACAGAGGTATAAACGAGTTTGAAACTATAAAGGCCTTCTGGTCTAGGCAGACAACAGATGCCTGGATAGTTAGTAAAAGAATCAAAGGAGGAGACCAAAACCTAAAATATAAATGTGCAAAGCTACCAAGGATATGGTGTGCTTTTCTTTATAAATATTCATTTTCAGTTTTATGTGCACACTTTACAGATTAAACCAATTATGAATTATGAATATTTCTAAATCATCCATGAAAACAAAACCAATTGTTATATTTATTTAATAGATGTAATTTATCATTTGGGAGCCTAGTTCTATTAGATAAAAGACACATTTGAGAATCTGATGTAAGATGTAAATAAATTTACATAAGTAAATTTGAAGATATAAACATGAAAAGAGAGAATTAAGCTTGTTTTTTAAAAAGTATTTATTAATTGGGAAATTCACATGACATATTTTGATCATCTTCAGTCTCAACCCAAATCCCTCCAAGATTTACCTCCTTTCTTACCCATCCAATGCTTTGTCCTCATTTTGTAGAATCTCATCAGACCCATTTTGTGCTATGCATAGACTTTTGAGTTGAGGACCACCTACTGTATGCCAACACACAAACACATAAATAAATAAGTGATAGATAAATAAATAAATAGAGAAATAAAATTTGAGGAGTTGGGAAGTGGCATAGATGAAACTTGTCATTATTTTTGTTTTCTTTTAGGGACAGAGTTTCTCTGTGTAGCCCTGGCTATCCTGGAACTTGCTCCTGGACTTGCTCCTGGACCAGGCTAGCACCAAACTCAGAGGTTTGCCTGCCTCTTTAGTTCTGAGAATAAAGGTATTTGCAATCACATCTAGATGCACTTACTACTATTAAGAAAACCCAGCACTCCATTGTGTAAATGTACCACATTTTCTTTTCTTTTCTTTTTTTTTTTTTGGTTTTTGAGACAGGGTTTCTCTGTGGCTTTGGAGCCTGTCCTGGCATTAGCTCTGTAGACCAGGCTGGTCTCGAACTCACAGAGAGCCTCCTGCCTCTGCCTCCAGAGTGCTGGGATTAAAGGCGTGCGCCACCACTGCCCGGCTTGTACCACATTTTCTTAATCCATTCTTTGGTTGAGGGGCATCTAGGTTGTTTCCAGGTTCTACACAGAGGTAAAAAATAACGAATGAACATCTTGAAATTTGCATGCAAATGAATGGATCTGAAGAAAACCATATTGAGTGAGGTAATCCAGACCCAGAAGGACAAATATAATAGGCAGTTACTCGCAAGTGGCTCTTAGGCATAAAGAAAAAAAAAGCCAGCTTATAGGCCATAACCCCAGAGAAACTAGACGACAAAGAGGATGCTAAGAGAGACATACATGGATCTACATAGGAAGATGGAAACAACAAAATCTCCTGAGTAAATTAGGAATGTACTGGTCGTGGAAGAGGGTAGAAAATGGGAGAAAGGGGGGGGGAGTGGAGAAAATCTATAGCTCAATAAAAGTAATAAAAAAAAGAAAACCCAGCTCAACATCATGGGTTAACTGTCACTACAGAAGAGTTCCGACGCACTCTTCTTTCTTGCCTCCATGAGAACCAGAAAAGTACATGGTACCAATATATACACGGTGACTAAACACTTGTACACATAAAATAAAATAGATAATTATTATTACATTTTTTTTGCTTTGAGGAGATTTTTTATTTCCCATACAATTCTCTAATATTTCCTACTTAGCTGCTTCTTTGTCAATTGTATTGCTATTTCATATAAACATAAGGTTAAATTCTTTCACTATCACCTTTTTGGCAAATGCAAAAGGGATAGGATTTCTCTGTAGAGTCAATTCAGAGTTGGTTCTAATAATTATACCACACACAGAATGGGTGTTTTCTAGGGAGATGCAAGACAGGTCAAATAATGTCAGCATGGTATAAAAGGGAATGATCTTTAAAACTGGACATTTGAAGGGCTCTATGAATTAAAGTCTTCTGATTCTCATACCAGTGTTATTTCTGAGGTTTCTCATTGTGGTTTTTTTTTTTGATACATTTTCATTTTTTATTGTTTTTATTGTGCTATGGTTTGCATATTAGTTAAGATTACTCATGTGACAGAAAGAGCTGGTCCTGCCCCTCACGGACCTCAGAGCAAATCCTGCACCTCACCTGGGCAGCGCACTAAAGCTGACCTGGTTGGTGGGCACACAGATATGCCAACCCTGAGGGCGTGAGAGCAAGAGAGCTGACCCAGATTCCCCTCATTGGCCATCTCGTGGCATGTGTGAGGGAAAGGTGATCACCCCTACCCCTTGTCAAAGTGGCCCGAGAATAGGAAAACTGGCCCTGTGTCTCACCAACTGCAGCATTCAAAAGAGTGGCTCCTGCACATCACCTGTGCAACACAATGTGGCCCTAGTAGTGGGGGTGCAGTTGAGCGGGCCCCAAGGGCTTGAGAGAAGGAGAAACGAACCTGTTCCATACTGACTGGCCCTTGATAATAAATAGAACACACCTGTCAAGAGAGTGGACAGGTTTAGTTCACACGGAATGTTACACTCTGCTGCTCCTTCAAGGATGGAGTGGGGGGAAAATGCTTCATTTGGGAATGAGACATATTTGAGCAGAATCTAGAGTTTCTTTACATTGCTATCTTCTAATAAAACTGCTGTGAAAAAGAAAATCAAATTCACCTATCAAAAAATTGACAATTAAAAATCTGAGGGTTCACCTCAAAGAGCTACATACATTTTGGGATCACTCATTTTACAAATACCACTTGAAAGGAACAAATTAGTGTATTATTTTTGTTTATTATAGGCACAAGGGAATATTGTTTTTGTAATTAGTTGGCAACTATATTGCCTTCTAACTTTGCAGGTTTGTAATAATTTATCACCTTAATAATGAATTAAATCTTGATAAGTGTCAATAAACCTCATTGGGCCTTAACTATACTAGTTACTAGACTTCTATTCTTTAGATGTGAAAAGGCTTTGAAACCATGACATGCACAAAATGTTGCCTCACCTGTATCCAGACAACTTACATATAATAGGAAATGTGGAAGGAGCAGTGTGGATGTGCCACAGAAATTTAGGCATGTCATAATCCACAAATTTTGCAATGCTATATAGATCAGTCCTTTTCAAATTTCCATATGCATGCCAGTCACTTGATAAAATTTATCAAGCTGTAGATTCCAAGGGGCTGGAGAGATGTTCAGTCCCAACAAACACATTCAGTAGCCAACAAAGACCTCTAACTCCAGCTCAAGGGGATCTGACACTCTCTCCAGGCCTCTGTGGGCACCTGTACACACATCCATTCAGAAACATGGGTGCTCATAGACATCAATAAAGGTGATTTGAATTTTTTTAATTTATTAGATTTTTTTAAAAAAAAATACCAATCCAAACTCTCACTCCCTCTGCTCCCCGCCCCCTTCCCTCCACACATCCTCCCAAACCACCCCCATCTAATTCTCAGAGAGGGTAAGGCACATTGCTTTGGAAAAGGTCTAAGGCCCTCCCTACTATATCTAGGCTGAATAAGGTATACATCCAAAGAGAATAGGATCCCAAAAAGCCAGCATATGTAGTAGAGATAAATCCCAGTGCCACTGCCAGTGTCCCTTCAGTCGGCCCCAGCCATACAACTATCAACCACATCAAGAGGTCCTATGCTTGTTCCTTCCCAGTCCGGCTGTAGTTGGTGAGCTCCCATTAGCTCAGGTAAACTGTTTCAGTGGGTGAACCCTTCATAGTCTTGACCTCTTTGCTCATATTCTCATTCCTTCCAGGATTAACTGGACCTTGATGGCTCAGTCCAATGCTCTGATGTGGGTCTTTGCCTCTGTTTCCATCTATTGTTGGACAAAGGTTATATAGTGTTATTTAAAATAATCATCAGTCTGACTACAGGGCAAAGCAAGTTTGAGCCCTTTCTCCTCTATTGCTTAGGGTCTTAGCTGGGGTCATTCATCTGGATTCGTGGAAATTTTTCTAGAGCCAGGTTTCTTGCTAAACCCATAATGGCTCCCTCAATCAAGATATCTCTTTCCTTCCTCTCATATCTGTTCTTCCTCTCTCTCAACTATCCCATTCCCTCAAATTATCCTCCACCCTCCCCTTCTTCCTTTCATATCCCCTTCTCCCCTTCCTTCTATCCCCCGCCCTCATGCTCCCAATTTTCTCAGGTGATCTTGTCTGTTTCCAATTTCCATATGTCTCTATGTGTTTTTCTTTGGGTTCACCTTATTACTTAGCTTCTCTAGGATAATGAACTAGCCTCAAAGTCCTTGAAAATTTTAAAACTATACATTATTAAGCTGGAGCTATAGGAAGGCAACTAACCATCTACATGTACAACTAAGACTTCTGTCCCTATATGAACATTGGAAAAGTCCATGTATTCAATTTTTATATTGGTCTTTACCATAACACATGATTTTTGTTAGTTTATTCTTCTCTTTTATTTTACTGTATTGTGAATTCAATTGATATAAATTCAATTCTTGGATTAGGAAAGGCATAGAGGGGTGCAGGAAGCCGGTAGGCCTGAGCAGCTAGTGCTGAATAATGCCGGGAAAACTCCGCAGCGAGTCCAGGTTGGAATCAGACGCGGAGTTGAGTGACGCTACTGGCGAAGACAGCAGTGAGACAGAAAAGGAAATACCCATGGAACAGAAAGAAGGTGCTTTCTCTAATTTCCCCATATCTGAAGAGACTATCAAGCTTCTCAAAGCTCGTGGGGTGAATTACCTGTTTCCTCTACAAGCCAAGACATTGAACCATGTGTACAGTGGGAAAGACTTAATTGCCCAGGCACGGACAGGAACCGGAAAGACATTCTCCTTCGCCATCCCTTTGACCGAGAAGTTTCAGAGTGGGCTACAAGAGAGGAAGAGAGGCCGTGCTCCTCAGGTACTAGTTCTTGCACCTACAAAAGAATTAGCTAATCAAGTGAGCAAAGACTTCAGTGACATCACAAAAAAGTTATCGGTGGCTTGCTTTTATGATGGAACTCCCTATGGAGGTCAAATCGAGCGAATGCAGAGTGGGATTGATATCCTGGTTGGGACCCCGGGTCGTATTAAAGACCACCTGCAGAATGGAAAGCTGGAGCTCACCAAACTTAAACATGTTGTCCTGGATGAAGTTGACCAGATGTTGGACATGGGTTTTGCTGATCAAGTAGAAGAAATTTTATGTGTGGCATACAAGAAAGATTCTGAAGACAACCCCCAAACATTGCCTTTCTCTGCAACTTGCCCTCATTGGGTATTTAATGTTGCTAAGAAATACATGAAATCTACATACGAACAGGTGGACCTGATTGGTAAAAAGACTCGGAAAGCAGCCATAACTGTGGAGCACCTGGCGATTAAGTGCCACTGGAGTGAGAGGGCAGCGGTCATTGGGGTGATCCAAGTGTACAGTGGTCATCAGGGACACACTATCATCTTCTGTGAAACCAAGAGAGAAGCCCAGGAACTGTCACAGGATTCGTGCATAAAGCAGGATGCCCAGTCATTGCACGGCGACATTCCACAGAAGCAAAGGGAAATCACCCTGAAAGGTTTCCGAAATGGCAGTTTTGGCGTTTTGGTGGCGACCAATGTCGCTGCGCGTGGCTTAGACATCCCTGAGGTTGACCTGGTTGTCCAAAGCTGCCCGCTGAAGGACATGGAGTCCTACATTCACCGTTCAGGGCAGACAGGCAGAGCTGGAAGGACAGGGGTTTGCATCTGCTTTTATCAGCACAAGGAAGAGTACCAGTTAGTGCAAGTGGAGCAGAAAGCGGGAAATAAATTTAAGCGGGTAGGTGTTCCTTCTGCAACAGAAATAATAAAGGCCTCCAGCAAAGATGCCATCAGGCTTTTGGAGTCTGTGCCTCCCACCGCCATCAGCCACTTCAAACAGTCAGCTGAAAAGCTGATTGAGGAGAAGGGGGCTGTGGAGGCCCTGGCGGCCACGCTGGCCCACATTTCAGGGGCCACATCTGTCGACCAGCGCTCCTTGATCAACTCACAAGCGGGCTTTGTCACCATGATCCTACAGTGCTCGATCGAGATGCCCAACATTAGCTATGCTTGGAAAGAAATCAAGGAGCAGCTGGGCAAAGGCATTGATGCCAAAGTGAGGGGGATGGTCTTCCTCAAAGGAAAACTGGAAGTTTGTTTTGATGTCCGCACTGAAGCAGTCACAGAAATACAGGAGAAGTGGCATGATTCAAGACGCTGGCAGCTCAGTGTGGCCACGGAGCAGCCAGAGCTGGAAGGACCCGTGGATGGATATCGAGGTGGCAGGGGTCAGCGTGATGGCAACAGCGGTGCATTCAGAGGACAGCGGGGTGGAAGCAAGAACTTCAGGGGACAGGGGCAGCGAGGAAGAAATAGAAACTTCAGAGGACAGCGACCCGGAGGTGGCAACAAAGGCCAGAAGCGGAGTTTTAGTAAAGCGTTTGGTCAGTGAGTAGAGGCTAGCAGGAACTGTTCACACTGTGGACCCCACTGCCCTTTCCCCTGTCAAAGCCCCCAGTGCTTCCTTCCTTTTTGATCATTTGCTCAGCCCCCATTCCTTGTAGAGAGATGGGCTCTGGACTGTTCTAACATCATGAGCTGTCTTTGTAGGAACCCAGTTCATCGTTTTCCAACATAGTGTCTAATTTTACAAAGTAAAAAAAAAAAAAAAAAGGAAAGGCATAGAGCCACGTGGAAAGATAGAAAACAACTACCTTTATAAATAACATTATAAAGACAGATTTACACAATTCAATACACAATCTAAGGAATATGACAACATTGCCTAGAGGTAAATCAACCAGATGAGTTTAAAGTACTAGTAAACGGGCACAGGATGTGTTGCCAGGAACCCTGAGTTACAGCATAGGCTCAGTGTTTACTGATCATTGGCAGTTCCATGACAACCAATTACTTTAGCACAAAAGAAAGAATTTTAAATAATGGAGTCCATGGTCACTTGTAGCTATAATATATATTTCTTTGCTCCTTTTAAGAAAGAAAAATTGGCAAATGCAGATAATTCCATCCTTTTCAAGTCACTAAAAATATGGGGGACTTACTTGAAGGTGGATAACTAAACAATGCCAGTTTTCCATAAAGATAGCAATAAATTGCTGGCTACAGACATGACTAAGACTTTGATGCCAAATAAGGCTTCTGCCAGAGGTCATAATCCAAGTCTAGGGGAAAATACAATTTTACCATTTCCTCAGCCTCACATACTAGTCCATTCATTATAGAAGATTTCAATCTGTGTATATCAATGACAGGATAACAGCAAGAAGAAGCAAATATGCACAAGACATTCTGGTAGCTTCAAATAAAATAAACATCATTTCATTGTAGCTGTAAAGGAACTGACCCAGAGAAGTATAGACAACCAGCAAATAAACATGAAAACATAATTTTCTTCCAAATATAACCGAGAAATAGTAGAGTGCCATGGTGATAGGGTGTGGCTTGCGTATTCACTACGGCAGTGAAGTAAACTGACCTTCCCTACCCAACTACTTACTCTGTGTAATATAATATGGTAACTTATGTCTTTGATACTGAAAATTCAGTCCATGATATCTACCATGCTTATGGATCAGTAGGATCAACATAGTAAAAATGGCCATCCTCTCAAGAAGGAATTTACAGATTCATTGCAACTCCCATAAAAATTTCAGCACAAATCTTTACATACCTTGAAAGGACAGTACTAAACTTCATATGAAAAAAAAAAAAAAACAAACAAAAAACAGGATAGCTAAGTCTATTGTAAACAATAAAAAAAACTTCCAGGGGTATTACTATCTCGGATTTCAAGCTGTACTATAGAGATACAGTAATAAAACCACATGAAATTGGCATAAAAACAGACATGTTGATCAGTGAAATTTAATTGAATGCCCAGACATAAATTCACACACCCATGAACACCTGGTTTTTGATAAAGCAGCCATTATTAGATATATGAGAGCATCTCCAACAAATGGTGCTGGTCATATTGGATGTCTGCATGTAAAAGAATGAAAACTGATCCAAAGCTAGTAATAACCCTGCACAAAACTCAAATCCAAATGCATCAAATACCTCAACATAGAACAAGATACACTGAACATGATAAAGGAGAAAGTAGGTAATAGCCTTGGATGCATTGGCACAGAAGACAATTTCCTGAACAGAATACCAATAACATAGGCACTATGAACAACTATCAATAAATGGAGCCTCATGAAATTGAAATATCTTCTGTAAGGCAAAGGATACCTACCATCAATCAGACAGTGGCAGCCTACAGAATGGGAAGAGATTTTCAGAAACCCCACATCCAATTGAGGGCTAATATCAACAATACATAAAGAGCTCAAGAAGCTAGACATCAGTTAACCAAATAATCCACTTTTTGTAAAAAAAAAAAAAATGGGATACAAACTTAAACAGAGAATGCTTGGTAGAGGAATCTCAAAAGGCTGAGAAATACTTAAAGAAATGTTCAGCATCCTTAGCCGTCCAGAAAATGCAAATCAAATAACTCTGGTATTCTATTGTATACCTGTCAGAATGGATAAGATCCATTAACACAAGTAACAGCTCATTCTGGAGAAGATATGGAACAAGGGGAATATTCCTTTATTGTTAGTGGGAATGAGAATTTGTATAACCTCTGTGGAAATCAATACAATCTTCCTCAGAAAACTGGGAACCGAGCTACCCCTAGTCCCAGCTATACTACTCTTGGACATATAACCAAGGAGGCTCCATTCTACCACAAGGACACTTGCTCAACTATGTTCATTGAATCTTTTTTCATAAAAGCCAGAACCTGGAAATAATCTAAATGTCCCTCAACAAAATAATGGATGAATAAAATGTGATATATTTATATAACAGAGTATTACTCATCTGTTAAAAAAATAATGACATCATAAAATTTGCAGGCAAATGGATAGAACTAGAACAAATTGTCCTGAGTGAGGTAATCCAGGTCCAGAGAGACAAACACGGTATATACTCACATATAATTGGATAATAGTTGCTAAGTAAATAATAATCATGCTTCAATCCACAGACCCAGAGAGGCTAAGTAACAAGGAGGACTCTAAGGAAGGAGTGCATTGATCTCCCTGGAAAATGAAAATAGAATATATTTTGTTGGTGGGAATGGGAACAAGAAATCAGGTGGGGGTATTGAGGGAGAAAGGAATTAGAAGCCATTTAGAGTATGATGTGGAAACCATGAACAATGTTTTGTAACTTAATGTAGTACAATGAAAGGTGGCATTCCCTGGAATGTATGAGGGTGACGTTAGTGAGGACTCCTGGTAACAGGGGACATGGAGCCTGAACTTCCCATCTTCTGTAACCAGGCAAGGCTTCTAGTAGTGGAAGTTGGGATACCAATGAAGCCACAAAACTTTCAACCTACCATCTACCCTGTCTGAAAGATGTGTTTGGGAAATGGTGGCAAAGAAGTTGTAAGAGGCCCAAGTCACAAGAGAGAGCCCACGCAAGTCACTGTCTGGATCAACAGGAAAGAAGTCTGTATAACTAAGAGACCCTGGGTAGAAAAAAAATCAATGAAATGATTCCTAATGATCTTCTATATTCATATACTCAAAGATTGCTGCCTAGCCCAATCATCATCAGAGATGCTTCCTCCAAAAGCTGAAAGGAACAGATGCAGAGACTCACAGTCAGACATTACGAAGAGAGGTAATCTAAAATTGGAGTTTTTCACTGGGTCACTCCCCTCAGAGCTCAGGGAACCCTGCTGGAGGAAGGGGAAGGAAAGAATGCAAGTGTTAGAGGGGATGGAGGACACAAGGAGAACATGGCCCACTGAATCAACTAAGCAGGGCTAATACAGGCTCACAAATATTGAATGGGGCTAAAAGCAGCATGGGGCATGCATTGGTTGACACCCAGCCCTCAGTGTATATGTTATGGCTGTTAGCTTGGTGTTTATGTGGAACTCCTAACAGTGGGAGAGGGTGGGTCTCTGACTCTTTTGCCTGAACTTGGGAATTTTTTCCTCCTACTGTGATATCTAGTCCAGATTCCATATTTGGGCTTTTGCATTGTCTTATTACATATTTCTTGTGTTTGGTTGTTGTCCCTTGGAAGCCTCTTCCTTTTTCAGTGTAAACAGGGGCAGGGGAGTGGATCTAAGGGATATGGAATTTGGGGAGGAACTGGGAGTAGTCGAGAGAGGGGAAACCATGGTTGGGGTATAGTGTATGATTGAAGAATCTATTTTCAACAAAAACAAAAATATCTCCAAGGTTTTATTCCAGTTAGGACACCTCAATAAACCCATTCAATATAACTACACCAGTGTATTAATTCCATATCATTAATGTTGTTAATGCTTTCATGATAAAATATATCTCTCAATAGCACAAAGAGATAGGAGGTAAAATTCTAACAAATTACCACTGAAGACATTATATATTTGAAACAAAACAATAATTACAAGGACCCTGAAGTTAAAATTATGTCTCTGTAATCTTGAAGGAGTCACCTAACCCCTCTGAGCTTATGTGAATTATAATTTACATGTAGTAATTTACATAAAAATGTAAAATAGCATCATCATTACACTATTTTCTGATCACACTACATCTATCAATCACTTGATCATCACAAAAAGTAGTATTCTACCTACTTTCAGAAAAACATAAATGAATATTTAAAACATAAAACAAAGTAGTAGCACTACATCCAGATATAATATGTAACAAGAAATAATGCTGGTCATGTCATAATGACAGGATGGAAAATAGGCAATGGAAGTATAACCAGTGTTCATTTTGGAAGAATGCATTTGTATAAATACAGGCATAAAAATCAACTAAGCCACAGTCTAATTTATAAACCTGAAATTAGATGTCAAAGCAGGAAGATAAAATAAATGGTCATTTTCACAAGATAAGCTTGAGGATCAATTCAAAAGCAGCACAGTAAGCCAGAAGACGACATATCTACAACCAGGTACCTCAAATATGGGCAGCCTACTAGGCAAAGTAAATTAAAAAACAAATTGCTCACAAGTGCAAATTTAACAATTTAATTGCTCTGTAATTTTAAAAAGCTTTTACTGTCATTTTTCATAAAAAGTGAATAACATTCTATTTACCTGGTTTCAAATCACTTATCATTTATAGAAATGTAGCAATAAGTCTTCCAATCCCTAATGAGATATGCTTCTGTTTGTGGTAGAGAGCAATTAACACAAAAATCCACACCTGGCCAAGATGCAGAGACTGAAGAATGGCATAAATGAAATATACATATCACAGCCCCTCCTCCTAAGGCTCAGGGACGATTGTGAAAGAGAGTGCAGACACAATATAAGAGGCATATAATGTGGATGACTACAAGAGTAGTACCATTCAGACACTTCACATCAGCTGCACAGATGAACTTACAATGGTTGGGACAACATACACAAGACAAGTGCAAGTCCAAGGGAAACCGAATCTCAGCGTGGAGATGGGAGTTGGGCACAAAATCCCACTCCTAGCTATGGAGATTATTGGAAATTGTCACCTTCAGAGAGAAACAGAGAGAGTCAGTGTTTCTAAGAGTATAGCCTATTTTAGGTTAATCACACCCCAGTAGGTCACTCATCCAAGAATATTTAAGCAGCGCAAACTGGT